CCCCGCCCTCCTGGAGCGATGCCCTCAGCTTGGGCACACTCAGGGCCTTTTGCCCTGGCCACGCCCCTAACCAGGCCACACCTCCCAATCCCGCCCAGAGCCCTGCCCACGCCCCCAACTAAGCCACATCTCCCAATCCCATACACACAGATACGAGCACACCCCCAGCTCCCCATTTAGTAACCCTATTCTTGCTCTACCCACACCCTGTGGAAGTGTCACGAGCACAGCCCCCCCCCCACCCCCGCTTCTTAACTGATTCAATAATTTTGTTAAAAGAATTAATTTTTTGTGTGACAAAAAATTTCCTGCTCCCGTGTGCATGCTGGGAAAACCCGAAAAAATTTAAAGTCAAAAATCCTTTAGGAAAGGGGCATAATTATTTTGCTGACTTCGTTAATTAGATTCAGTGAGGGCTTATTTTTTCGGAGTTGATCACTTTAAATATTTTGTTTACTCGAGTCAGTGTTTGGGGGAGGTGTTTGGGCTGGGTGGGCAGGACCGGGCAGAGGTGTGTGGGGGAGGGGCTTGGTCCGGGGGCGGGGGTGTCTGCATGTGTGACCAAGAAGCGTAAAAAATAAAGCATTTAGAAAGGTGAAAACAAAAACTTTTAGCTAATTAGCATAATGAGTAGCTTATTTATTGGATTAATTAGGTGAACTGGTTAATGAGCTTTATTCATTTAATTTGTTTTCTTAATTGATTAAATACCAGAATTTTTTTGTGCTAATTATATTTTTTCAAGGAAAAAAGGAAAAAAAATTTCATAGTCCTGCGTGTATGCCTGGAAAAACCTGAAAAAAAAAGAGATATTTAAAAAGTCAAAAAATATTTTTAGATAATTATTATTATTTTGCTTAATAAATTAATTAGGTTCATTGACATTATTTTGTTTCCTTAGTTGATTATTTTAAATAGTTTCTTACTCTAATTAGCTTTTTGAGGGGGAGGGGTTTGGGCTTGGGGGGGTGTGAGCCAAGAATAAGCTAATTAGCATTATAGGTCATTTAATGGATTAAGTAGGTGAATTAATGAGCTTATTTTATTACTTTACTTAAGTCAATCCCTCCTAGCACCATACCTCTTCTGGTCTCTTTTGACACCGCCCCCCCGCTCCCGCTATTGGCTGAGGCGCACGTCAATCATTCCAAGCACCGCCCTTCCACCGCTTTGATTGGTTCAGCTTCACCCGTGCAGCCTCTTTTGTACAGCCCGGGCAGTACCGAATATCGGCCCCGTGATCGCAGCACCGACCGTCTCCCAGCGCCATTCCTCAGCTTCCCCCCGTGCAGTGCCGCGGTTTGGACACGGTGGCACCGGAACGCGGCCCCCAGCCGCTTTCCCCATATCACGTCCGCGCCAGCCCCATCACAGCACGGCGCCCCCTCCCGTCAGTACCGGGATTTCGACACAAGATGGCAGCAGCAAGCGACACGCGGAGCCGCTCCGCCCCCCCAATCTGCAACACCTGCAGTACCGACTTCAGGACACCTGGGGGCAGCACATCTCACCTTTTCGGTGCCGCAGAAGCAACTGGCTTCGAAACCGCTGCTCCCCGCCCGGTTTCCATCCTCAGGGGAGCGCTCCTCGGAGCAGTTTTTCCGGTTCTTCAAACCCAACAGCGTTTCTGTCGCAGGCATTACCTCCACACACAAAGCTCCTACCCTCCCTTTGCCGCCCAATGCTCCGTCTGGGCACGGCCTCTCTGGTGCTCGTTCCCCATTAACGAGTGTCTATGTCAGGTTTCCTTTTCAGAACCGGGAAGGCTACTGCGCACTGCGCATGCGCGGACCGGTACCGCTACTGCGCATGCGCGGACCCGAAACGCGACTGCGCATGCGCGGACCCGAAACGCCACTGCGCATGCGCGGACCCGGGACGCGACTGCGCATGCGCGGACCCGGGACGCGACTGCGCATGCGCGAGATCGAGACGCGACTGCGCATGCGCGGACCCGAAACGCGACTGCGCATGCGCGGACCCGGGACGCGACTGCGCATGCGCGGACCCGGGACGCGACTGCGCATGCGCGGAACCGAAACGCGACTGCGCATGCGCGGACCCGGGACGCGACTGCGCATGCGCGGACCCGGCACGCGACTGCGCATGCGCGGACCCGGAACGCGACTGCGCATGCGCGGACCCGGGACGCGACTGCGCATGCGCGGACCCGGGACGCGACTGCGCATGCGCGGACCCGGGACGCGACTGCGCATGCGCGGACCCGAAACGCTACTGCGCATGCGCGGACCCGGGACGCGACTGCGCATGCGCGGACCCGGGACGCGACTGCGCATGCGCGGACCGAGACGCGACTGCGCATGCGCGGACCCGGGACGCGACTGCGCATGCGCGGACCCGGGACGCGACTGCGCATGCGCGGACCCGGGACGCGACTGCGCATGCGCGGACCCGGGACGCGACTGCGCATGCGCGGAACCGAAACGCGACTGCGCATGCGCGGACCCGGGACGCGACTGCGCATGCGCGGACCCGAAACGCGACTGCGCATGCGGACCGACGCGACTGCGCATGCGCGGACCCGGGACGCGACTGCGCATGCGCGGACCCGAAACGCGACTGCGCATGCGCGGACCCGGGACGCGACTGCGCATGCGCGGACCCGGAACGCGACTGCGCATGCGCGGACCCGGGACGCGACTGCGCATGCGCGGACCCGGCACGCGACTGCGCATGCGCGGACCCGAAACGCGACTGCGCATGCGCGGACCCGAGACGCGACTGCGCATGCGCGGACCCGGCACGCGACTGCGCATGCGCGGAACCGGGACGCGACTGCGCATGCGCGGACCCGGGACGCGACTGCGCATGCGCGGAACCGGGACGCGACTGCGCATGCGCGGACCCGGGACGCGACTGCGCATGCGCGGATCCGGCACGCGACTGCGCATGCGCGAGTTCGAGACGCGACTGCGCATGCGCGGACCCGGTACGCGAGTGCGCATGCGCGGACCCGAAACGCGACTGCGCATGCGCGGACCCGAAACGCGACTGCGCATGCGCGGACCCGGCACGCGACTGCGCATGCGCGAGTTCGAGACGCGACTGCGCATGCGCGGACCCGGGACGGTACTGCGCATGCGCGGATCCGGCACGCGACTGCGCATGCGCGGACCCGGGACGGCAGTGCGCATGCGCGGACCCGAAACGCGACTGCGCATGCGCGGACCCGGGACGCGACTGCGCATGCGCGGACCCGGCACGCGACTGCGCATGCGCGGACCCGAAACGCTGCTGCGCATGCGCGGACCCGGGACGCGACTGCGCATGCGCGGACCCGGGACGGTACTGCGCGTGCGCGGACCCGAAACGCTACTGCGCGTGCGCGGACCCGGGACGCGACTGCGCATGCGCGGACCCGGGTTGCTATTGCGCATGCGCGGACCTGGGACGCTGCTACGCATGCGCGAGTCCAGGACGCTACTGCGCATGCGCGGACCCGAAGCGCTACTGTGCATGCGCGGCCCCGAAACGCTACTTCGCGTGCGCGGTGTCGGGACGCTACTGCGCATGCATTTTTCTTTTTTTGTCTTTTTTTTTTTTTCCGAGAAGCTACTGCGCATGCGCGAGTCCATGCAGCCTTCACGCCCTTGTCACTGTCAAGAAGCTAGTCTCTCTGCAGGAAGCAAACCAGAAGCTACTGTTTGGTAACAGCTTTCTGCTTCTTTCCCATTTAGTTTTCTATTGGGGAAAAAACATGAGGAAGCCTCTATCCGAAGGGCATTCAGAAGAGGCAGGAGATGGGGAGTGGAGCTTATAGGGGGCAATGGGGCAAGTGCTTCTCCATGAATCCTGACTTCTGAGTGGATGTTTCCATCAAACCCCAGTCCTTGCCTGATTTCTCACGTAAATCTGGTTTGTAATGGCTGTTCCTCAACTGCTGAGAATTTCATTCCTCGGGAGATTCATCATTAGTCAGTAGTAAAGTTAATTCTGAGTGGTTTACACAAAACCGTGGAGCTGTGTTTGACTGAAGAGACTGCACAGAAGGGTTGAACAATTTTGGCTGAACGAAACCTTTTCTAAACAAGGTTATCCTTACGAATGCGACAGAAGCACATGAGGTGTGTACTGTGAAAGCAGTGACTGCACTGCCTCGCCCAGGACAGCTGCTGAGGGGAGCAAATATTTTTTTCCTGCTGTTAAAAAAATAAAAAAGGTTTGTTTGTTGGGTTTTTTTCCCCCACAGTCTGGTAGTCCTGCAGATCCACCGGAATGTGTAGAGCCGACGGAGATACAGGTGGTGCTCAATGTGCCAGGTAAGGGGAAAGACTTAGAAAGTATTTACCAGAGAATTTTAGAAGTACTCACCTAGGAAATCACCAGTGCATTGTGTCCCTTTCCAAATGCTGCAGTAAACAATACTGAAGGCAATGCCATACCATTTGTTACACACATTTTAGCAAATTGCAAGCCCTAGCAGATTGAAAGCCCTAGCAGATTGAAAGCCTCGAGCTATCAGGTCTCAGATTTCAATCGGGTCCAATGCCCTCCGACGCTGCCCTGCTGGGTCCTAGAGCCCGAGTGTAGGACACAGAATCCCGGAATGAGTCGGACTGGAGGGGACCATAAAGCTCATCAGTTCCAACCGTCTGCCATGGTCAGTATGCAGATGGAGGTTTTGGTGACAAAATGTGGGTAGATTGCCATGTTGGTGGCACCACTGCGGAGCTGACCATGTGTAGGTGATGTCCAGCATCATCTTTCTCTCCTGGAGCAGGGGCTAAGGGGCTGGACATTCACACTTTGTGAGCTGTGCTCCGGTATACCCAAAAGCCCTCACCAGAGAGGCAGTCCTACAGAAGGGCATAGTGAAGCACCCTCCCACATTGCTGCTCCCCGAGGAGGCACACTTCTGATGCCACCAAGCCAGGCACTGAGAAGTTAAATACATTTTACAAAATTTACTTATAAATAAAAACATAAAATTACCAGTAATACACCTTGGTTGCCAGAAAGAACATAAAAAAAAAAAAAAAAAAAAAAAACAAAACTGGAGAAAAATAATCGTATGTACAGGCACCGGGAGCGACAGACCTGCAATGCAGAAGGTCACACACAGCATTGTGCAAAGGCAGCACTGCAAGGCCTTGGGTGGTTACACCATAGAGCAGGGGCTGGGGAAGGACACAGGGCTGGGGAGGAGACAGGGATGGGGTGATGGGGACCTGGGATAGTGGCACAGAGGCCAGCTGGAGCAGGAACCAGGATGGGGCAGGTAGTTGTGGGCATTGCTGGGATAGGGCAGGCAGGGAGGGTTCCACTCTCTTTGACACTCCACATGTTTGGCACTGGAAAGCTCCTGGTCCTTTCTTGTGAAGCCGTCAGTGCAGGGCTATGGCTTGGATAATGCAGAAAATCCCTTCTGGCCTCTTGAGCCAGAGTGGAGCTGGGTGCCACCCTTTAACCACCATCGTCCAGCTCTCCAAAACATCCTTCAGCAGGTCTGGGAGAAGGCTGGCAGACCCAGCGTGGTTCCAACCTACAGCCACAGTGCTGGAACTGGGATTTGAAATTGGCTTTTCTCCATGGGACCATGGCTAAGGATTTGCTTTGTGGCGGTCAGGATGGCCCAGGGCAGTGCAAATAGTGGGTGCTTAGGGGCATTTGTGGAAGGCACAGACTGGTTTCTGTGTTGCTGTTACAGGCTGGCTGGAACAGTGTGAGGGATGCTGAATTCTGCTTGTGCACAGCTTAGAGCCCTTGGCTGAATCTACGCCATGGGACTGTGCAAGATTTCCCCTGTCAATCCTGGGATGGGGCTTCTCAGGCTGGTGCCCAGCTCGCTAGCAGGTTAAAAAAACATATTGTAGGAAAAAAAAACAACACATTGCACTAGCACAGAAATGGTCCTGGTTGAAGACCTCCATCCAGGCAAGCTGGATGCTGGCTGATTCCTACTGAGCTGTGGTGGGACAGGAGAGTTACCACTGGTGACGTGCAGTGGAGCCTTGTTATCTGCTTGCTGGCAGCAGGAGATTTTACGAGAGAGGCTAGAAAACAAAATGAAAGTGGCTGGTTTGAGGTTTTTCAACCAGGTCCAGATGATGGGATTCTGTGGCTGTAAGGGCACAGGAGGAGAAAAGGCAGCGGGCGCTCCTGGGAGGGATGCTTGCAGCGAGCATGTGAGAGCACATGGGGCAAACACAACCAATTTCCCCTTCAATTCCTTCGGTTGACTGTGGCTTGCAAATTCCTGTTAATTCTTGAATCCAGTTGCCCATCTGGCAGCTGGAGAAAAGGGACAGGGAGTCCTTGTCCATCAGACTGGGGAGCACTGGGCTCACCACGGCTGTGCAGGTGCAGGGAGGACGGATGTGCCAGTGCAGCTGTGGCTAGGGGATGGGATGGGTGGGCAGTGCTTGTTGGTGAAAGTGACTTTTGGTGAGGGACTGTTGGTTGTAATAAGGTGGGGTGTGCGCATGTGTGTGTAGGGTCCTTCCTGAGGCACTACAGAGGCCAAAGGATGGGAGAAGTGGATTTGCAGCCTGTGCTGGTGGCAGGAAGTGGCTCCTCGGTCCCACAGGATCCCTGGGGATTGGCAGCGACCGGAGGAAGGGTAAGGAGGTGTAAGAGCAGCACAATGCTTCCTCCAGGCTACAGCTGGAAATGTGCCAGGTCTGATTCCTCTTGAAGACCATGAGGGCTGTGGTGTCCCAGGATCCCTCCAAGCCTGGAGCAGAACGTCCCCTGGGAGTTTTGCATCACCTTGATACCTGACAGGAGATTATTCGCTGAAGTCCTGTTCCCTGACTACCTCCCCTGCCAGCTTCTCAGCCCAACAAGGGGGCAGAAGGGACACTGCTGAGGTGGGAGCAAGGAGGAGCTGCTGGCACGTCACCATTGGCACGAGTTGCTTTTTCACCTCTAACACGACAGGCTGTGGTGCAACACAGGGAGGGCTGTGAGCTGGTCAGGCCACCAGCTCTGCTAATAAATACATGGCTCATCTGAACTGTACAAGGTGCAGGGCAGTGCTTCTTGCCTGAGAGAGACGCCCACGCCAAGCTGCATGGAGGAGAAGGCAGACCTGGCTCAGATCTCGGTGGCAATGATATCCTCATAGGGGACATCTGTGCCAGGTATGTCCAGCTCAATAGGTTCCCTGCCATCTTCCCCTGTGGCAAGCTGCTGCAGCATCTTCTCCATATTCTGGTTCCTCTTGTACATGTGCAGGTAGCTCTGCTGCAGCTGCTTCTGGTAGTGAATCACTTTCTCCTTCTCCTCCTTCCATGTCTGCCGTTCATGCTGGAAGCTGGAAGTCATCTGCTCATTGTTGTCCTGCTCAGCCTTCAGCTCTGCCCTCAGTCTCTCCACCTCTCCCTGTAGGGCTTGAGCATTGTCCATCATGGGGCAGGACCTGGCCACCTCCCGGGCTTCACTCAGCTGCTCCTTGAGGATGGCTACCTCCGTCCGCAGGTCCATGATCTCCTGCTCCAGCAAGTTCACCTTCTCCCTCAGCAGCTCAGACTCGTTCTTCTTGCGCTGGAGCTCGTTCTCACACACCTCCAGCTCCATGGCCTTGGTGTGCAGGGAGCTCTCCAGGTCCTGGGTCTTCATTTCCAGCACTTCCATCTTCAACCTTATCTCCTTCAGCTGAGCCTTTACGCTGAGGATCTCAGTGGTCTTGCTGTTGAGCTCTGTCTGGGATTCCTTCAGCTGCTGCTTCAGGAGGGAGATCTCCCCTGACTTCTGGCATACCTAATGGGTGGAATGCAGCATCAAGTTAGGGCTGCATGTCAGAGAAAGCTCACAGCACCCATGGTACCCCATGCAACCCATGCTGGGCACAGCTGGCACAGCATGTGGAGACCCTGGCCATGAAATCCCACCCAGGGAGATGCCCCAGCACAGGGAGCAATGCCCTGGGCTCTTCGGGAGCTGGAGGGGACCCTATGCTCTCCATGCATCAACACCCCAGCTGATACAGAAGGCTGCTGGTGAAGATTTAAGGAGCTAACACCCTCAGTTGAGGTGTGGAGATGGAGAGTGTTGAGGAAATGCTCAAGTCTCCATGTCCTGTCCAACATGTTTGCTGAAACCACTGCTCACATGGTCAGTTAAACTGGCCGAGCTTGTTTCATAAGCAGACACTCAATGGCACCCCTCAAAACGGCAGCTGGGAACAAAACACGTAAGTCCCACTGGAGCCTAAAGCATGGCTGGTACAGGTGCTCCTGGGGACAGCTTCTGGGGGCTTGGTGGGACACTGCAGCTCCAGTTTAGGGAGGATCTGAGAACAGCCTGGAAAGGTGGCTTGAAATGAAAATAAACTTGAAATATTGAAAGTGATAAGAGAAATCCTTGCATGTGAGGGGGTGAAGCTGAGCACCATGCTTTTTGAAGCATGCTAGGCAACAGCTACAGTAAACTATAGTGAAAACAGCTGCAGTGAAATGACACTGGTGTGTGTTGTTCAGGCTCACAGGCTCATATCTGAATTTTCAGCAGTTTAATGGTCTTTGTTCAGTGATGCCAAATCAGTGGGAAAAATAAGCTTAAGCACAGAGTGGAAGGCTTTACTGCTCTCTAATAAATGGCCCTGCAAGTCCAAGTAGTTCCTATTTACAGGTGGGAAGGCAGCTTTACTACTCCTTTGGGGCAGATAGCCAAAATTGTTTTAGTGACTGGGATTTTTTATGCAGTTGTTTCTTTATAGGATGTGAAGTGCTGAGGAGTTCAGAGGGGCACTGAGTCACTCAGTCACTGTTTACAGAGCCTCCACGTGACAGATGAGGGCTTTCCTTGGATTTAATATCTCCTACAGACTGGGCTTAGTGACTGCACCATCTGCTCCTCACAGACCCTATGTGGTCTGAGCTGGGTGCAGGTATGGACATGGAGAAGAGCTGTGTGGCATATTGCTGGTGCTGGAGCTATCTCCTTCCAGGCACATGCTTTGCTTTGGGCATTGGAAACCCAAGATGCCACTCAGTGCTACTCACCTCCCACTGGGTCTCTTCCAGTGCCGGGGCAAAGCTGGTCTTCTCCTTCTCATAGGATCTCAGCTTGGTCTCCAGCAGGGTTTGCTCTTTCATGAGCTTCTCCAGCTCCTCCCGGAGCTGCTGCTTTTCCTGCTGCAGCTGAAACACCTGGAGATGAAAGACCTGCTGTGTCCGCTGGCTTTTCTGCAAGGTTTGCTTGAGCTTGCTATTGCATTTCTGCTTGAGGCCCTCCACCTCTTCCTTGCAGTGCCACTGTTTCTCTTCATATGTCTGGCAGGAGCTGAATTCCTTCTCCTCAGAGCTTGACTGAAGCTCCTGCAGCTCCCCTTCTCTCTCTAGAAGCTTCTGCTCCAGCTCCTGGATGGTGGACTCATCCATGGAGATGGGCGAACGGATACAAGTGGTCTTCTCGGCAGCATGGTTGGGGGGGGCTTTCCCAGGGTTAAGGATCTTGTTGCCTCCATCTGAGAAGGACATGGCCTTGAGGCTCATCATGTTGCTGTCCTGGATGATGGCACACTGCAAGATGTTGTGGGCTGAGCCCCCAAAGCGGCTGATGGGTCCCATTGGTGTGACGAGGGGATCGAGCTGGTAGCTGCTGCTGGTGCTGTGGGTGGGGAGGCTGGACATGGAATTCCTGCCGGAGTCAGACAGACCCCCTGAGCACAGCACTGGCTTCAGCTCCTGCTCCTTGGCTTTGTCAGGGGGCTGCAGCTGCTGGGAGAGGTGACCCCCATTCTCTGTGGATGAGTGGAGGATGGCACCGGACCGGGGCAGCACTGGCTTGAAGGCTGTCGGTCTTGCAGTTGGCTTCTCTGCACCCTGGGGAGAAGAGAAATGCAGAGACATCAGCACAGACCAAAACCACATCAACACCACCACCACCACCCCACCCCTCTGTCCCCAAGGGCAAGACCCCCATGGCTGGGATGGCTCAGGTCTCCATCAGGGACCAAAAGCTCAAGAGGATGCTGATGGCTAAAATAGCCTGTTGGGAGGCAAATGGCACATTTAGAAATTAAAGGATACAGATCATATTGTTGATCTGAATTCCTGAAAGAAGAAGGTGGCAGAGTGCTTTCAGCACCTCCTTGCTGCCCCTCTCATCCCGCTTCTTCAGCACAAACTTTCTATGAGCCTTCTCCTGGACCAGAACAGCCCTGCAGTGGGACCTGCACCCACTTGGAGGGCAGATGTGGTCCAGTGGGATACCCCCTGATTCTGGGATGCCGTCTCCCCTACTAACCACTTCCAGCTGACTAGGAAAGGGCATCAGCTTCTGCGGTGTGGGTGTCCCAAAGTCCATAGCACTGGTCCTGGCTTGGCTGCCCAGCTCCACGCCAGCAAGCGAGGTATAGTCTGCTCGGTGGGAGCCATGAGATTTCTGGCTGACCTTGATGTAAAAGAAATCCTCATTCTTGCTGCTTTTGGAGCTGGATTTGTGGCTGGAATCTTGGGAGAAGCCAAAGCGGAGCAGCCCGTCTGAGTACCTGTTGAGCTTCTTCAGGTGGGATGACTTGCGGAGCTTGTACTGCGAGGCTCGGCAGTGCTTGCTGTGGAAGCTGTGGCCAGAGATGAGGCTACTGACGCTGCCCATGCTGCTCCCAGGCAGGGGGCATGCGGCAGGGGGAGCAGAGCCCAGAAGAACTGTGGCACGAGAGCTCTGGGCAGCGAGTACAGACAGCAGCTGCTGCAATCATAGCAAAGACCTCACTGTGCCAGGAAGCTGCAAGCCTGAGGAGGCAAAGAGAGGAGCAGGGTGAGGAAAAGAGGCCTGGGAGGTGAGCACGATGCTGTGCCTGTGATCTGGGCATCATGACTTCTGATGGTGGTACCCCACTGCCAGCCCAGGGCAACTCTTCCCCATCCCTCTGCAGAAGCCCTGTGTAAAGGAGGATGGCAGACAGAGAACAGGGCTTTCCTTTGTGCCTGTGGATGGCTCCAGGAGCCTCCCACAGTCTGTGTCCCCAGGCTGGCTGGCACTTGCCATTGCACAGTTCCCAGTTGGATGGGTACATCCTGCCTGGTGCCCGAGCTCATCAGAAGCTCCTGGGTACAGTGCACGTGGATGAGGCCAGGAGGGTTGGGAGACACAGGAGCCCCTGAAAATAAGGAGAGGAGGAAAAGGGATTTGTAGTGATTTTTAGGTGCCTGATAGGCACTAATTTCAATGAGCACTCGTTTCCTGCTTATTCCATGCCAAATGTATCCCATTTCCTGCCAGCCACACTTGGGACTGTAAGCTGCAGTCACAGCCTCTCCTGCATCAGCCTGTGGGTCCCTGATTTCTCTCCAATTTTCGGTGTTCCTCTTAATCTACCTGAAAAGGGCTGCTGTGAGGCTTAATTACACTTAATGTCTGTGCAGCACTTAAGAAGATGAGAGGCGATATGTGCGAGGTGAGTATTGTGAACACAGTTCAGAGGTATGCAGAGCTGTGCATTAATTCCCTTTGCTATGGAAAAAAGAAAAAACATAAAGCCCCAGCTCCTGGTGGCCTTTGGATGCTTGGCTCCCTGTGTCAGAGCTATAATGGAGATGCACCTTCCACCTAGATCATTAAAGGATCAGGAGACCAGAAAAATGCTGCTCCTAGGCAGAAGTTAGAGCATAATCAAAATGAGCTAAATCCTGTTTGCACAGGATGATGACAGAGGAAATGTTTCTGCATGGAAAAGAGCTCAAAGCTCCTGCTTTCAGTGGTGACAGTAATGCAAGGTCCAGTTCTTCTCCAGAGCTGCCCATGCTGGGTTCCCATCAGCCAAACAGGCATCCAGGGGGTAAAATGTCCCCTAGCAATTGGGAGAGGGTTGGGTGGTAGAAGAGGTGCAGGCACAATCCTCACTGCCTTGTCCTCATGGTCTAGAGAGTTGTTCCTATGCTTTTCCCATTCTTCATGTCCTGCCTTATGCTCTGGTGCAAGTTCCTCTGCATCCTGAACAGGGTAACACAAACTGTGCTTATCCCTCAGCTTTATTTTTTTCATGTTTGTCTGTACTCTGAGGATCCAGGTTGAACAAGTGTCAAAGGAAAGTCCCAGAAAGACAGAATATTCTCTTTAATCCCTAACTCCATTTTGGGGGGAATTAAGAGAAGTAAGTAAGAACTGAGGTGTGAACTGCTGCCTGGATGCTGATATGCTAAAAATTATCAATTACTTTGGCTTCATTCATTTTTACTGTGTAAGAGGCATAATGGAGGAATAATGGAAGGGGAAGGAATTGCTGCAGGGAACAGGATAATTGGCACAGGAGGTGGCTCTGCCAGCACATGTTCCAAAACCATGCTGGTGTGTGTGAGCCTGCAAAAGAGGAAAGGCAGTTGCACAGCAGCAAAGCTGCCAGCTATAGTGACAGCATCCCAGAGACAGCATTCAACATGTGCAAGTAGAGGGGGAAACAGCCGCTATATTTATGAGCACCTATGGCAGAGGTGTCAGGGAGGTTTGATGCCTTAAAGCACAGCATTTTTCAGAGTGCATAGCCCTGGTGCTCTGGGATGTCGGGCTCACTGTCCCCATGGCCAGAGCATCAATTCCTTTAGATAGAAGCACCCTTGGGTTTTGCTTTCCTGCAGAAGACAGGAGATACATGGGGAGGGAAAGATAGGACTTTCCAGCCTTTTGGCAGTAGGTGTTTCAATCAATCCCAGCCCTCCTACACATGCCTGAGAGGGTTGGGCATGTCTTCTCCTTCTCTCTTTTGATTTAAAAATGAGTACTTGGAAAGCCATGGAGTTGGTATCCATGCACAACATTAGCAGAAAGAGAAAAGCTCTGGAGACAGCACATCTTGGAGTGCACCAAGCGAGCAGAGGGCACAGGCTTCTGCTCCAGCTCCAGGGCACCTCCAAAAGGTCTTGTCCCTCTTCCTTGTTCAGCCTCTGGGGCACATGCTTGTGTCTTGCCCTGTGTCAAATCTAGTGACTGTGACTGTACAGGGAACCAGACTGGTTTGCTGAGACACACAAAAACTAGTCGTTGTGTATATACATATCTATTTAGATGTTTGTATGTATTTTAAGAGGTTCTGCATGCTTGGCAACAGCCACAGTTCAGATTGAACATACTGCAAAGTATGAAGGGGGTTGGAAAAAAATATAAATACGTGATACTGAGAGTGCAGGGTCTGAAAATGCCCCAGGAATGGTGCGTTGGGGCTGGAACTGTGCATGTCCATGGGGTCTGTGTGTGGCTGATGGTGTGTGATGATGATGCCACTGTAGCAGCCTGTCTCCGTGGCTGAACCCAGATGCTACAGCCCCATACATTTAGCCCTGTGCTCAGTGTGATTACTTTGAATGCAGTTTGCCTTGTCACTCAGCAATTAATGAGGGCAGAAAGACAGAAAAGGCATGAGCTTTTCCCTCTTTCCCTGCTGTCTCCAGCAAATGAGCCCTTTAAAACTCTTTTTGGCACTGTGTTGGGGAGGGGGCTCTAGGGACAGCACTATCCCCTCAGTTGGATTCCTGGGGTGATGCTGTGCTGAGGGGCACTGCCTGTGCTCCATGAACCTTTGTGGGACTGCTAACAAAACCCACTGAGGTGGAGTGGTTAGTGGGGGTCTGGCAGAGGTCACCCATGGGACAGACCGCAGATAAACACCCAGGCAGTGTGGGCTAAACCTGTGGGATCAGGGGTGAACACATGGATGTACCCACTCTTGCTTTTGCAGAAACAGAGGGGGAAAAATGAACGGCATCTCACAGTCATTGCAGCCATGCCTACCCTGGGATCACACAAAGAAGTGCGACTCTCCCCATCACCTCCTTTCTGAATGGGCTGCGGGAATTTAAACTTATCTCCTTTGCTGCACTGTTTCTTTGAAGACTTTCCCTCCTCCCTGCAGTTTTCACAGCCAGTAACTTTCTCTCTGCCTTCCCCAGACAGGTCATCTTATAAAAGCCTTCTTTTCCTTCCTGGCTTCACATTATTACTCCCTCCCTGCTGATCCTGTTCTTCTCTCCTCTGTATGTGAAAGCTTCCTTCTCCCCTGCACTCTCTCACCTACTCTTTTTTCCCCTCTTGAATCCTTATTCATAATTTCTGTGCAGATGCACCCACACATTTTGGTGTCTGCCGGGAGAGGTACAGATAATACAGAAGCAGTAGCAGTTGCCAAGAGCCTGGATCCAGAAGCAGCCTCCTTCCTCTTTCCCTCAATCGCTGCCAGGTAATGTGCCTTTTTACTTGGTAATTTGAGTCTTTGAGACACCAAGAATGTTGCCCCAGGTTAAAATATGGGCATTTCCGTGGTAAAAAAAGCCATCCACCTGCTACTTGAAGCATCTGACATGTTTTAATGAAGAGAATGGCTTAATCCAAAACTTGTGAGTACAGCAAATCCAGTAAACTGGATTTGGAATCTGCAACCAAAGCTGGGTTCTGATTTCAAGACCCCCAAATGCTACCGAACACCAGGCTGATGAGACTGACCCACCTCGGGCTGCATGAGCATCTGCCTGTCCCTGCTCAGACTTAACTCTCCCCATGCCTAGATGGAGCCAGGCTCCCTGAAATCTACTCATTTCGATCTCCAAAGAACTGGCATCAATAGGGCTTGGAAAGCCTCATCAGCAGAGCCGACCTTGCCCCCACCCTGTAATCTTCCCCCTAATGGTGCTAATGGGTATGAATTAAAACACCCGCCCAGGCAGATGCCGTCCTTGTGGTGTTCAATTGTGACTTAGTGTCGGCAAAGGGCCCCATTATAAGCCTTTCATTCACTCTAATTCATTGTCCCCCCACTCATTCACTGACATTCATTGGGATCATTTTGATTGGAGGCAGGGAGTGAATTGAGTACGGGATTCACAAAGCACACCACGTGTTCTGCCCTGATTTGTCATTAGTCGAGGGGGACACTCCAGATGAAGAATAACCAGCCTCAGTTACATGTTACATCTACTCTAATAGTCCAGGAGTCCACCACACTTAAATGTTATTTCAATGAAAACTAAGAGAATTCGCACCCACTGCCTGGTGCTTGTTAGAGGATCCAGCAGGCTCTCTGCCTGGTTTTGGCAGGCGTTTGGGTGGGTTTCATGCCAGCGCAGCAGTAGGAGACTGTGCCATGTCTCTGTCAGTGTCCCTTGGAAGCCAGGCTCTTGTGCTCTTTTGACTGGTCATCCTGCTGCAGGCCCTGGAGGTGAAGGTGCAATGGCTCTACAGGGAAAAAAGCAACCAAAAGCAATCTGCAACCATTTGGAAGTCCATCAGCAGCACAGAGCACTGCCTCTTTGCATCCAGTTCCTGCATGGAGGGTGGCTCAGGTCAAGGTCACTTATCATAGAATCCTAGAATGGTTTGGTTTGGAAAGGACCTTAAAGCTCATCCAGTTCCAAACCCCTGCCACAGGCAGGGACATCTTCCATTAAAACCAGGCTGCTCCAAACTCCATCCAGCCTTCTTCCTGCCAGCCATACTGGGAAATCTAAAAATCAACACTGAATTAAGCATTAGCTTTGGAAAGAGCTTTGAAGGAGCTGTGCACATCTCTTCTCCATCCGCAAACAAGGCACCAATCGTGATCAGGCATGAGTCAGTGAGTGGCTTTAATAGGAGAGCAGGGCAAAATCATCTGTGTGATGATCTAAGCAGCACTGAAGTGACTCGGCTTGAGCTATGTTTGAGGAAGCTAGTACTAGAATAAGAGGAATTTCTCAAATTAACAATGAATCATTGTCAGAGTGAGTTTTAGAGGATGTCAGCTCAACACCTGCTGTGTGGTGCCTGA